GAATAGGGAGTCTGTTTTTTGGGCTATTTTTTAATCTTTCTTCTTTGCATTCCCTTTGTTTTCTGTTTTTGGGGAGCTAAGTTATTTTATCTCCCCTTTTGTATCCATATTCCCTCTTTTCTTTTAATTTAATGAAGATGGTGTTATTGATCAAAAAAAAAAAACACATATGTTCCCTAAATCTCACATGAGAGCAATTGAATGCATTCTAAGATACCTCAAGTCATGTCTAGGAAAGGGACTGCTGTTCAAGAAACTTGATAAAATGGTTATAAAAAGCTTTGTAGATGCTGACTGAGTAGGGTTTATTGGGGATAGAAGATCTACCATAGGATATTTTACCTTTGTGGTGGGATTCTAGTTACTTGTCGAAGCAAGAAGTAGATAGTTGTGGCTAGGTCCAGTGCAAAGGCTGAGTATAGGGCTATAGCTCATGGTCTGACTGAACTTTTGTGGGTTCGGATTCTACTCAGGGAGTTGGAGATTCAAACTAATGGCCCCTTAAGGCTATATTTTGACAAATGACAATCATGCCATTAACCCTGTCCAGCATGATAGGACCAAGCACCATGAAATCGATAGACATTTTGTTTGATAAAGGATCATTTCCAGGGATGTATGCATTCCTTATTTACCTATTGCAATGCAGCTAGGTGATATGTTTACAAAAGGATTGCCCAAATCAAGATTTCATGAATTACTAGGCAAGGTAAGCATGACGGTATCTATGCTTAACTTGAGGGGGAGTGTTGTAACTTGTAAGTCTTAATGGTGTATGGGCTGGGCTGTTTCTTATTTTACTTTACTCCCTATTGGGTCTACTGGTCCTAAGTTATTCTTCTCTTAAAGACTGTTTATATGCAGCCCACCTAATAAAGGGCAATCTTGTACTTTCTCATGTTTTAAGTTTCATTTAAATTCTATCCTGGGCTGGACCGGGAGCAAACTGCCACCCCGTTTTCTCATTCTCTTCTCTTCCTGTCTTCTCTCATATCTTTTCTACCCTTGCTCAAAATACTTAAGGCATCAAAGTGGTTGTAAATGTTTTTTTTTTTTCAGTTTGAGCCATATGGGTAATTTTTGTAATTTTACATTTTGATGTAGGGTCCAGTCATTGGAAGTTATTAGTTAGGTAATTGTCGAGGTTGGTTCAAAGATTCAAAATAATCGGGTTTGTGTTTTGCAGTGGCAATTTCATAATTATGGCAACAGTAACTCTGGCCACCTTGCTGAGAAGTAGAAGAAACTCAGGGCTTGGGGAAAGAATTCCTACACAAGTTCTAAGAGCAAGAAAATCCAAAGTACCCTTATGTCTAAATGCATTCTGATAATGCCTTAATTTAACAATGACTGAACCCATATAAAAAAAATGTGAAGTGGCCAAAGTACCCTTATGACTAGAAATTCTAAAAATTGTTCAATAGTAAACATAAAATTCTAGGCTTCACTTTAGGGTCACCTTGATGCTTGCCGTCGGGGGGGGGTGTCATCTCTGATGGGCAGTTTGCCTGCTGGATGATTCCTTGGACACATACTGCCAATGAATAACCCTCAATGTAATCAGGTCAATCAGTGTCTATTGTTGAATCTCCATTTCCTAGAGTGCTCTTAATTTCATACATATTTTCATTTCATACCATGTAAAAGAGCTGCCTAACTATAATGTCACATATCTTCCTTCTCTTACCTGAAGGTGGATAAAACTGTTTCAAACGTGGTTCGGATATCCACAAGAGGCTGGAATTGAACACCAAGATAAAGAAAATGAGTTTCAAAATCTTAGAAGCATTTAATGTCCATGGTTTTGACATTAGAGTTGTATGAAGGATCAGATTAAGTTTAACCAGTATCACCTTGAATTTCCAGTCCCCACATCAAAAATCAGATTTGCTCAAATCACTCTCCAAATATAAAATGTTTTAATTGTTGTTGCTTATCCAATCAACATTTACTTTTCCAACATTGTTTTTTCACTAAACATAACTCGTGCCTTCAACTGATTCTTTTTGATGATGTTTCCCCCAAATTGCATGCACAAATTTTCTAGCCATTTTTCATTTGCTTAAAATTTGTCAATTGATATGAAGTTGTACTTTTTGTTGTTATTGTCTTCATCAACCCATTGACTTTTTATTGGTAAGTCACTAGTTAAACTCATATTGTGCTAGGTCTGCTTGATTTTTCAGTCTTTAACACTAACTTCATTGGCCTTTACTTTGTACAGCACTCTTGGCCAGGGCCTAGAAACTAGTACGTATCCTGGAGAGGTTATCTTTTCCATTGCACTGGCTATTCTTGGACTTATCCTATTTGCGCTTCTGATTGGTAACATGCAGGTAAGGACTTATTTGTTTATTTTATTTAAGGTTGTTTGTGATTAGTAAAATGGATAGAAGAAGACATCAGGGAATGATGAAAAAGATGAAAAAAAAAAAAGAGAATAAGAAATCAATACTTGAAACAGAGGTAGAATAGGAAAGTGACCATCCCACATTATCCTGTTATTTCACCATTAATAACAAGTCATTTTCTCAAGGACAAGAATGCTCTTGACATAATAGTTTTCACAGATGTAACTAGAATAATTGGATGGACTCCACATGATCTGGAAACTAATTCCTTCGTCTAGAACACTATTTAGTAGGGGTGCAAACTGCCCAGGCCTAATAATGTGCTACTCTAGTTACTCTAATTGAACATTTTACCATAATGTCACTATCTAGTTTACCATAGATTCTCAACCATGGTATATGTCTATGAGTCTGTTCATGCATGTGTATCCATAGATTAGCTGTCTGTTGGTCCACATTGGTTTTATACTCAACAAGCATCATAGGTGTGTTTTTTCGTCTGTAGGAAGCTCAAAAGACCAAGAAATTGTCTTCTTTCCTTGGTATCCTGTAGACCAGAAGGCCCAAAGATGAGCATGTGCAAAGACCAAAATAGTCAAAAACTGGGAAGCTTCAAATGAAGTTTTTGGTCTTTTCCGCAATTATAATAGCCTTTCAATCTGTTATTAACAGCCTGGTAGATTAAGATGTTTACCAAATAGTCTTGGTCTTCAAAGAAAAGATCCAAAAAGCTCAGTGTCTTCTGGCCTGCTGGGTTGTCAAAAGATCTACTTTGAAAATTCACCAGGGAGAAGGGCTTTGTTTTGCCATAATGGAAAGCCTAGTGTCACGGGGCTAATCGACAGGGCCCGTGTGGCGCTCGATTGGGGTCGAGAAAGCCTACAAATGCAAGCAACAACACACAAAAGGAAACAAGAGTGCACACAAATTAGACAAAAGGCAACTTGTATTGCATTAATCAGTGGTAAGCACAAGCACACAGTACAGTGTCGAGGGGATCTCGTGCTTAACCTTTACACGCTTATGAGCTCACTCGACTACCTACCTCCCCTCAAAGAGTACGCTAAGCTTTTGGGGGAGTGACAAAATGATACATCAAAATACTATACATGCATACTACTATTTACATAATTGCCATTGGCATACCCCCCTTACAAAAGGAGTACAAGGACCCAACCCAAGACACTTAGATGGCGTGCTGATGGCGTGCTGATGGTGGCTGAACCGTCACAGTCTCCCCCACTTAATTCAATCTTCGTCCTCGAAGATTCTTCCTTGGGTACTCGTCCAGCTTCACTGCGAATGGAAGGAGGTCTTCTGCAGGTCCCTTCCACTTCACCAGGTAATCCCATTCTGATGTTTGGGAGGATTGGGACAACCTATGGTTGAGGATGGAGTCGAGGGATCGGTTCTTGGGTGGTTGGTAGGATGGGTGTGGGCGTTGACTTTGGTTTCGGGAGGTRTCTTGGYTGTYGGCATGGTAGGGTTTAAGTTGGCTTACATGAAAGACAGGGTGTACTTTTAGCCATGGAGGTAGTTTGAGTCTGTAGGCTGAAGCTCCTACTTTGGTTAGGATT